TTCATTTTTCTAGGTTGAATTTAATTCCTTGTCATGTTTCCTAATTAGGAAGAGCTGTGGGATTCGTCTTGATTTTTTGAAAAATTCTTTCCCAGGAATGCTTATCTCGGCTTCAGCAAATGTTTTATCTGCTTGTTTCACCTCTTAATTCCTGCTGGGGTTGTTAACGTGTCAGACTTCAACAGCAGGGCTGATTCTGGGACTGCCTCATTGTTGGCTCTTGTTCAGACTGAGGCTGGGGCTTTATATTCAAGGCCAATGGCACAAATGCAGCTTTTTCTCCCTTACTCCTTTACCCTGTCCTGGCCCCTCGTCTCTCCTTTTAAGCCTTCTTCCGGTCTCCTGCTTCTCCTTTCTGTCTAATGCAGCCTGTCTCCCATATCCTTTCCTAGCTCTCCCCCATTTCTGGTTGTTAATCTGGCCTTTAAAAATAAAAACAATCATGATGATAAGATTAAAATAATAAGTAACACTCTGTCCTGCATCTTAGCACATACTTGGTTCTCTTTTGGGAGTCTCATTTTTCACAAATTCACCTTGCCACTCTCTTTATCCATCTACCTGTTTTCTCCATCTTGTCATTCTAGTGAGGGGTCTTCTCTGTTCCTTTCCTTCTCCCCTTCTCCTTTCCTTTTGGGCATTTCCTCCTGCCCCTCCCAGCATTCAAGGACCCTTTAATAAACTCAACTGGGTGTGTGTGTGTGTGTGTGTGTGTGTGTGTGTGTGTGTGTGTACTATCATTACGATCCTGGATTGGGCTTAGCATGGTTTAAGATATCTCCATCCAAACACTCATAGGAAATATAAAAGTTAAAGTAAGATGTCTTCCATCTGTCAGGTTTTCCTGAGAAAACTAGTGACCATGGTCAGTGTGCATAGTTTCTACTGCTGTGGCACTTTGCCCAGAACTATGATGCAGAGGGAAGCCTTCCCTGTGCCAGACTCTGTGTAACAGGGAATATTTCAGGCATCACAGGCAGAGAGGAATCTATTGAAGGACTGTAGAGGTTGGGCCTCAAGGATTGAGCCTAACCCTGAGAAAGTTATTGGAGAGTCCAGTGAAATTGTTTTCTATGGGGATGTTTTAGAAAGTTCCAAATCCATTGCATTTCTTCTGTAAAATAAGAGTGAATTATCATTAGTTAAGTTTCCTGGGTTGAGGAGCCCTGGTGGCGCGGTGGTTAAGTGCTCAGTTGCTAACCAAAAGGTCGGCAGTTTGAACCCACCAGTCATTCGGGGAAGAAGGATGTGGCAGAGTGCTTCCATAAAGGTAAAGGTTTACAGCCTTGAAATGCCTATAGGGCAGTTCTACTCTACCACATTGTGTCGCTATGAGTTGGAATCGACTTGACGGCAATGGGTTTGGTTGGGTTTGGGTTTTAAGCTCCCTGGGTAGCACAAACTGTTTGCTCTCGAATACTAGCGTAAAGGTTGGTGGTTCAAACCTACCCAGTGGCATTGCAGAAGAAAGGTCTGCTTCCATAAAGATTATAGCTAAGAAAATTCTATGGACCTCAGTTCTACTCTGTAACACATGGGGTCACCATGAGTCAGAATCAACTCAATGGCAACGGTTTTCGTTTTTATCATTACTAACAAACCCAAATTCCTGAAGGGCCCAGGTAGATAATTTAAATGAGGAAGAGAGATGTTGGCCTGGTAAGGACTAAGGTAAACCTGAGAGCCCATTCCCAGTCAAAAGGGGTCACGTGGGAATACAGTGTGTAAGGAAGCTGGAAATCTCTGTTGTTTCATGCGAAATTTCCCAGTTTTAAAATGATGACCAAAATTTTTTAAATCTTCTGTGTGTGCTATAGCTCATTAGCTGTCAGTTTGTGACTGCTGGACTAAATGATTAAGGCCACTTCTCACACTTGCTCTCTAATTCAGTGGGCTTAATCAGTAATTGTTGCTATGTGACATTGGTGGTTCAGTGGTAGAATTCTCGCCTTCCATGCAGGAGACCCGGGTTACATTCCATTCTATTAGTGCCGACCTGTGTGCTGCTATGATGCTGAATAGGTTTCAGGGGAGCTTCCAGATTGAGAAGCTAATAAGAAAGGCCTGGTGATCTACTTCTGAAAATCGGCCAATGAAAATCCTATGGATCACAACGGTTCTATCCATAACTGATCATGGGGATGGACAGGGCAGCATTTTGCTCAGTTGTCCATGGGATTGTCATAAGTTGGGGACTGACTTGACAGTAACTAACAACAACAAATCAGTAATACTAAAAAAAAATTATCATTAACATTTGCATAGCTATTTTCAGTTTATGAAAGACTTTCCTTCATATTACTTTAGGAGGTTGTTGTTAGTTGCCGCTGAGTTGATTCCAATTCATGTTGCTCCCATGAGTACTTTGGGATACACCAATATATTTTAAAGACTTATCCACCTGATATATATCTAAACAAGTTGTGTTCTGTCCATCCTACCCTCCTACCACCAGCCCAGGCAATGCTAAGGATTCAAGGAAATAAAGTATAGCTCCAACCCCACAAAAGGTTGAGAACTTGGCCCTGATTTTTCTAGTTAAACTTGCTTTGTAAAAATCCACTCCACCTTCGAGAAGAGTTAATTCAATTGTTTAAATTGCTACTGTTCACTTTTCCAGGCTAGCATTACTCTGATAACAAAAGTTGTCAAAGACAATCACAAAATAACACCAGTTACAATGGACCAATTTCATTACTAGTAAATAAATTTTAACCCTAAATAAAAGATTAACAAATTGAACCCAGAACAGTATTCAAAGAATAATACAACATGCACAAACAGAGTTTATTTCAGGAATGTAAGGATGGGTCAAACATTATGAAATTATTTGTGTAATTCATTATTTTAGTCAGTCAGATTAAAAACAAATACAGTAATAGAGACTAAGAGACAGTTGATTACATTTGACAGCCTTTCCTTCTTAAAAGCTTGTTGCAAAGTAAGAATAGAAGAAAAGTTAAAAAAATAAAAGATAGAATACTTGAAGAATATCTTGCACCAGTCAGGAACAGACACTTGTCTTATTCCATTAAAGACTGAATGCCTATTATCTCCTCCTCTGTTCTTCAAAAATTTCAGAGGCTTTGGCCAATGTAATAAGGAAGGAAGAAAATGGCATTACTTGCAGGTGATATGACTGTCTACATAAAAATTTAGAGAGATGAACTGACAAGCTATTAGAACAAATAATATATTTTCAGAGTGTGATAGGATACAAGATAAATGCTCAAAAATCAATAGCTTTCCTAAATTACAGCAATGAACAATTAGCAAATATAATGGAAAAAAATCTCATTCACAATAACAAAAATTATAAAATACTCAGTAACAAAGTTAATAAGAATTGTGCAAATCTACGTGAAAAAATAATTTTAAAAGTGTTCTTAAAGATATAAAAGATCTAAATACATGAAGAGATATGTTCCTGAATGGGAAGACTCATGCTTTTGAAAATTTTGAAAAAGACGAGAATTAGGAGAGGACTTGCTTTAACAGAGAGCAAATATAATTGTAAAAAAAAATTTTAAAAAGCTATAATAATTATATATAGCATAGCAATAGGCAGGTACTTAGTAGAATAGACCAGAATGTTCTGAAGAAACCATATATACACATGAAAATTTAGTTTGTTATTAACATTGGCACATCAAAGTAGTGAGAAGAGTGGATTATTCGATAAATATTTGGGTAACTGGTTATCCATTTGGCAATAAGTGAGGATCCCTACCTCAATTTACAAAAATAAATTTATACACTCAATTGTATACTGATTGTAGCTTATATACTAAGTATGTAGTTTGGCAATGTGTATTAAAAATTGCATTTTCATAATCTTTTATTTAAAAATTCCATTTCTAGGAAATAATTCCAAGAAAGTAATTGGACAAGTAAGCAGAAATGTCTGTTCAAAGATGTTTATTGAAGCATTTTATTTTTTAGTAATAAAAAACAAAAACTACTGAGCTGTCTATCACAGTGGATTGTAACTATGGAATGCCACAAGTTTATCTTAAAATGATGAAAAAATGCATTAGAATGGAAGGCTATCCACATCATATTAAGTAAAAAAAGAAGTTTATAAGTCTGTAGGTATTCTTTGATTACATTGTGTTCTTGTTGTTTAATGTGTGGAAGTAGAGAAAAGTCTGGAAGGATGTATAACCAACCGTTTTTCATTTTCTACAGTTAGATCCTGGAATATTCTTCCTCTTTCTTTACTGTCTTTACCCAGGTAACTCCAATAGGAGTACATCCTTGAGGCCTTGGCTTAAACTTCTTGGGAGTGGAAGGGCTTCCCAGACATCCTATCTTAGGTAAGTATGCTCCCATAGAACCCTGCACTTGCCATACTTTATATAATTTATATATTTAAAAAAAAAAAAAATTCACTTTTTGCTTTCTTCTCTAGACCCTAATCTCCATGAGGGCAGTAATTGTATCTGGATCAATTTTGTTCACTCCAGGGCCCAGCACAGTGTTGGCAAATAACTGTTACTTATTGAGCTCTAGCTCTTGCTATATGCCAAATACTGTGCTAAGCGCTTTAAATAATCTCACTATACCTTTAGATAAATAGTATTATTATCTCCATTTTCAGGATGAGGAAATTGAGGCTCAGATTATGAAGCTTGTCCCAAAAGCCCTTTGGCTGAGCTGGGATTCATTCATAGGCCTTTTTAAACTATGGGCTAGTACACTTACTATGCGGTGATCAGTAAATATCGGTGCTGTGGGAAGGAAATACAACCCGCTGTGGCTTGAGGATCACTTGGTGGGATGCTGTAGTAGAGACTTAGCATGGAAGTGTGGTCGAATTAGAAGCTCTGTAAATTCATTTCCAACGCAGATATTCGCAAGCCCCGCCCATTACGGCCCGCCCACGAGAGCCTGAAGGGAAGCTGCCGGAGCGGGCGAGCTTCCGGGGAGCGGGGCGGGGCCAGCGCTGGTTGGCCAGCCTCGGGCGGAAGTCGGGCATTACGGTGGTGGAAGACGCTGGCTTGTGATAGGGAGTGGGAGAAGGCAGACCTGTGTAAAGGTTGTCTCTCCAACCCTTCGCTCCCGGGGGCCCTCAAGGAAAAACCCAACACCCCGGTCCCGCGGCTAGCCCCTTCCCCTAGGCTCTCTCCGCTCGATTTCGCCACCGTTATGTGGGAAGCGAATCCGGTGAGTAGCCGGGCGGGACGGGGCGGACCCAATGGGCGGGGTTGATGGGAGAGGGGCGGGAAGGGGGTTCCCGGGAACTGCTCCCCCTCACCCGCTTGAGGCTGGGTATTGAGTTCCGGGAGCCTGAAGATCCCGGCCCTTGAGGCCTCTATGGTCTCTGCCTTTTTGAGCGATGGAGATGGCTCGGTGGGTTTTCCAAAGCTGTGTTGCTTTCCTATTACAATTATTTATTTTACTTGCTGTGGTTTCTCCGCCTTCCTTCACTGTCTCTTTAAAGTTTTATTTTTATTTTTTACTTTCTGATTAGAGTTTCTGGGCTTCGAATCTGTTATTTCTCCTTTATCTCAGGTGTACCTGCCAGTCCCACCAATCTAAAGCGAGGGGATTCGACCCCCGTGTCTTGAATGAGCCTAAAAGGAACCATCATTACTCCTCTTCTTAGTGGACAGCCATTTAAAATTTGGGGAACTGATTTTATATTCTAGGTCTCTAAGTGGTGAAGTTCTTTAGATGTTTTCTGTAAGTGGACAGAACTGATCCCCAGGAACGTTTCAACTGCAAGCCTGTTTCCCTCCTTCGTGTTTGATTCCGATATTTGCATTATGTCTGTCTGTGTTTTTGTCTGCTTTGTTTTTGTACATTTATTTAAAATGTAGCACTTAAAGAAAGATCAGTTTGCCAAGAGTATTCCATCAGTCTCTTGTCAGAGTTGAAATTGCCTGGCAACATGGCAAATGTTCACTATTTACACCTTATGAATTGACTGGAAAAATGGCAGTCACATTTCAGCAAGCTGGCAACCCTGGTGGTGTAGTGGTTAAAAGCTGTGCCTGCTAACCAAAAGGTTGGCAGTTCGAATCCACCAGGCACTCCTTGGAAACCCTGTGGGACGGTTCTACTCTGTCCTGTAGGGTCACTATGAGTTGGAATCAACTTGACAGCAATGGGTTTGGTTTTTTGGTTTTGGTTGTACTGAATATGTGAACCTACCCCATATGCTGAGATAACTGCCTACATTTACTTCGTAGCATTTGGTTTCCATTCGTGCAATAATTCCTTTGCATAATCAATGCTCCTTTTTTTCCCCTTCTATTTCTGGAATATATTTCCAGTATAAGTTAGAGAAAAACCAAACCCAATGCTGTCAAGGCGATTCTGACTCACAGTGATCCTATAGGACAGAGTAGAACTGCCCCATGAGGTTTCCAAGGCTGTAATCTTTACAGAAGCAAGCTGCCACATCTTTCTGCTGTGTAGTAGGCTGGTAGGTTGCCGCTGTCGACCTTTTGGTTAGCAGCTGAGTGCTTAACCATGATGCCACCATGGTTCCTTATAAGTTAGTTAGTCTGTCTGGATTTGATGGTTGCACATTGCAGTTTCATCCCAGTCTGTATAGTAACAGTAGTCATCATCAAAGATTTTTTTGGTTCGTACATGTAATCCTCTACTATCAGGGCATGTTAGTGGAAAGTAACTGCTGGTATTTGATTTTAGCCCAGATAATTTACAATTATGAAAATATGTTCTCTGTTTAAATACTGAGTTTCACTATCATTAACAATTCATTATGTATATATTTTTTTCTCCAATTTTAATTAGCAGTTCTTCACAAGTTTTCCATAACTTACCCTTCACTCACCCAAGTACATGTCTTATTCAAAGTCACATGTTTTAAATACTTCACTGTACTGTAAACTCCATACAAGCAGGGATTTTGCCTGTTTTGTTTACTATATTATCCTCAGACTAGAGAACAGAGCCTGGCACATAATAGGCACTCAATAAATATTTGTTGAATTAATGAATCATCTTAGCTAAGGTGATTGAACTAGTTCTAGATTGCTCCCATTGTTCACTCTCCCTCCTGTATCACACATGCATCAGAATTTCCTATTGCATGTTTGTGAAGATTATAAAGGCATTAATGAGTCTCTCATACATTTGGCTTGTTATGTCATTATGTCACTTTGTAAGAAACACTTTTCCCTGAAATCATCTTAACAATATTGCTTGATTTTGGTAGAGCTGGCCCACTTTTGCGAATATTGGTGAACCTTCCACATAGAATCTCACATTCTTCTTTTGACCCTTATTTTACTGTGTTTTATTACTTACTGATACTGTTTTTCTTCCTATGACCATATGAATAAGGACAAGTTTGTTTTTAAAAACACAATCAACATTCTGATGTGAGTTTCTCTAGCAGTTTGTTAGTTTCTTTTAATAGAAAGGGCATCTGGATAGTCTGTTTAGCTGTGCTCATGGAATAAAAATTAATTTTACTGTTATCCTATGCCTAACATAATTCAGAAGGTATTAAAAAAACGCACTGCACATCCCAAAGATAAATGCAGATGCCCTTTGCATTACCCACCAATTTAACTCACTGTTCACCATTTCTTTCATTGCATGAGGCCATTCTACTTTGTGAAGGAAGGCCATTGTTCACAGCTTTAATTCAAGACTTCTGCCTAGTTTTCCCTGTATATTTTTGGTAGCATCGATGGCCTTAATATGCCACCTCTGACCTGCAGATATACCTCCTATTGCAAATATACTGTCTGTGTAATATTGTGTTCCACTCACAGGCGTTTTGAGGAAATGTTACACTGACCCAAGCCATGGTAATTCTCAGAAGCAGCCACCCCTTCCATGTGAAAGTCCGTGAAATGGCTGGCATGTGCAAAGTCATCACTGACCCATCACCATTTCCTTGGAGGGAAAACACCAAGATAACCAAAGAGCTCCAAGTAAACATTAGCGCACAATTATAGCTTTTTCAAGATAGTCATGAGGTCTGTGATGATTACTTCCTGGTCTTTCCTGACCAGGATCCTTGAGGGAATCACAAGGTCCCTGCCAGGGAGACCAGATTGACAGAAGCAGCAGGCACTCCACACTGCTGATGGGAGCTCTTGGCTCTTTGTCTCTCCATCCCCCTGGGGGAGAGGTAGCCCTTGACTAATGGTTCCCCAGTTGAAGAAAGCAGCAAAGTCTATAGAATTAAGTGGTGGTGGGAGGTGTTTGCCACCACTGCCTTTGCTCTGTATACTCTGACTTTATCTTGCCTTTCTCAGTCTCTTTGCCATTGTCCTATCCGTCTGCTGGGATTGGAACAAGTAGATCAGTGTTACACATTAAGGAGTTTTGGCATCTCTCTGTTATACTGGTGAGGGAAAGTGAAAAATGACAAACATCTGTTCGAGATTACAAACCAGCCATTGCAGGAATAATACCTTATTTTATAGAAAGTGATAAACTCTTACAAAATTCTTTTCCATTTATTAGCTCATTAGAATAATCTGATGAGTTAACTAAGGCAGGGGAAAATGAGTTTCCCAAGATCACTCAAGTGAGTAAGTAACAGAATTGTAATAGTACCCAAGTCCCCTGCCTCCTTTCTGTCCTTGTGGTAGCATTGATAACATTTGTATATTAGTGCAGTGCTTTATTTGCTGAGCCACCTTTTTCTCTCGTTTTATATCATAGTTACTTCCAAATTCTCTTGGAGCTATCTCTCCTTTTTCTATCAAGCTTCTTAAAAGAATAGTCTTATACTTTTTGTCATTACTCATGCCTCGACTGCATTAGCCCAGCTTCTACCCTTAACACTTCATTGCTTGGTCATGAAGAACCTTTGAATTACCACATACAGTGCCACTCCATCTGCTTTCAGTCTCTTCCATCTGTCTGCAACTTTGATGCCATCAAGGGTTTTCCTCAAAATTCTTTTTTTTTAATTTTCCCTGGAACTGTACTCCTTTGGATTTCTTCCCCTTTCTATAATTTATCCTTGAGTTACAATCTTGACTTAGCTACACTGTCTTCTTCTACCCCTGAAGTGTTCTACCCTTAATCTTTTTCTCTCTCAGCACATCCTATTTGGGTGAGCTTCTCCAAGGACTCAAATATTACTTTTGTGACTGTGCCTGCCAAATGTATGTCTTTAGCTCCAACCCATCTTCTGAGCTGGGTGATGGATGACTCTGTTTGATTACCCTTTTGATAATTCAGACTTAATGTGTCTAAGCCGAACTCATTCAGTCATTTATTCATTATTTGATTAATTCATTCAGTCAACAAGTATTTAGTAAGTATCTACCACATGTAAACACCATGACACGTGTAAAATACCTAGACACTACAGAGGGAGAGTGCGAACATGGATCAAATTACAGAGCCTGCCCCACAGGGGGCTTTCAATACAGTTTGAGAAGAGAAAATGATACCAGAGGAAGGTTTATTAGAGTGAGTTACATTGGACCTGAGTCTTCCGGTTATAGCTTGTTCAGACATGTGGTCTTATGGGAAAGTCAAGGAAGCAAGATGACCAAACTGACAAAAGTGAAAGAGAATGGCAAGTACAATTTGCATAAAGGAATAAAGTGGAGAAAGTGCGTGTCTGGTAATTAAAGTCTTAGCAAACTTATGAGGCATTGTATCTTTGGAGAATGAGGATGGAGTGGCTGGGAGTGGTGGCGACTAACATTTATGGAACATCTACTCTGAATCAGGTGGTGTGTTTTACAGATATACCTTCAGGCTGGGGTGCAGATGGAGGTAGGATGTGTTGCTGGAAATGAGAGTACTATAGAGAATATACTGTCTCTGGAGCTATGTTCTTGACAGTGTAATTTATTACCTAGGATCAATATACAATCGGATTTATTTACTAATATCTTTATCTTCTTGGAATTCTTTGTAATTATTCTAATAGTGGATTTAGCTAAGCTTAGAGCATGATCCATATCCCTCTGAGGCTCAAAACAATCCCCGTATTTGCTGGGAAACAGAAACCCTTCACCGGGAAAAGAATATTAATGGCAGAAGAGTGCCCACCCAGGAATGAACTGAGGAGAGTAGTGTGACGTGCCAGTGTTTAGTGGCCGGGGAGGCAGTACTAAACAGTGTGCTCACACTTAGGTTGTCTAATGCCTCTTAGAGGTAGGAATTATTATCTTCAGTTTTTAGTGACAATACTAAGGCTCCAAGAAGTTGGG